GGGGGAGGGTGAGAGAGAGAGAGAGAGAGAGAGAGAGAGAGAGAGAGAGAGAGAGAGAGAGAGAGGGAGAGAAGGAGAAAGGCGACAGTCCTGGATTTCTGTCACCAGAAACTTAAGCCAAAAGAGAAATCTGTGCTTTTAAAACGTAACATTTCTGAAACGTTACATTCCATTAGAGGAAAACATTGGCTAACCCCTCCTTTGGCTCATCGGCTCTCAAAGGGTCTGTCTAAGCTGAAACATACCTAACCACTCGACTTTCTGGTTTCTAACCAATATGGCAGCAATTAAAGACATATGTGGATTTTCATATAAGAAGTTTTCTAAAGAAGCATATACAGACATGCATATCTGCATAAGTATCAAAACTTATTTGGTTTCTTTGAATTCTAACCAATATAAAATTGAAAGTGAAATAGGGTGCACATATTGTATGTCTAATAGAAATTCATAATTTAGAAATGATTTAAACTATTATAAACTATTATATTTTTATTTTAAAAAAAAGAATAAAAAAATGCTTAACCAATTAAAAATTAGCCACAGTGACATCACTGTCATGCATGTCCATCAGAACCTAACATGACAGTAGAAGGTAAGGTGCATCCTAATTCGCATACTTATGCACTATTCTATAACATTTTGTCATATAAATAGTGCAAGTAGTGCGTTCACACTGAAAATTGCACTTGAATGAAGTGTAGAATGTTGTAGGGGGCTAAAGAATCTTATAAAATTCAGACACTACACGGTTGAGTATAGTGCACAAGTGTATAGTGTAATAATTCTTTATAGTGTGCTTCACTAAATTTTAAATAGTATATACACCTTCTGTAAACAAATATTTAGTGAACAAAATTTTTGGCACCCCTAGTGCAGTTAGCTCTCTTAAAGACAATTTAAAATAAAACCAATGGTTTTTGTGACATAGCTGTGATGGCAGTAGCCTAGTTAAATTGTTTTATTTAATTATTTATTTATTCATTTATTTTGACGTACCATCCAGTATTCAGCGATCGTGCAGCTGTTACTATGGTTGCCGCCTCACGAGATTGATTTATTTGGGGGGTTTTTTGCACAAAATTTTGCGCAAATGGACTAATTCGTAATCTTTTGTGGTTAATAAAACACGTAAAAGCTGTTGAAACCAGAGCCGATCCTCCCTATACGCAAAACACACACGCTGCGTAGGGCCCCTGAAACACCAGGAGGCCCTCTTGCTCTCAAAGATGGTTTAATTTTAGTTTCGTTTTTGAATTTGGCCAGCGGTTATGAAAACATGAATGATTATTTATTTTAATGCGGTGCGCTGTCGCCCTTTCTACGTAAAAATCTGTCAAATCATGTAATGTGAATGTCGTACAGTCTTGCTCGAGACTAAAAAACGAGTTGAAAGTGTACCGAAAGAAACACTGTTTCTCAAGCGCTTTCCACGAGTGCGATTCTAGACAGAGTGAAACACGGACAAATGCTTTTCACTCATTCGCTCATAACCACTCATATCCCCAACCAGTTTTGTGTAGGGCCCTCAGATGTCTATGATCGGCACTATATAGGCTACTTGTATGTAAAAGGAATCCTTGTCTGTGACCTCCTTTGGGGTGCTTCACCAGATCCCCCTTTATTTTAGAAAGGACATGGTCTTCTACAATGGAATTTTCTCTTCATATGCTTGAAAAAATTCAATAAAAGTGCCATGCTATAGGGGGAAGGCCCACTATATCTTGTTTTCATATGTGACCTGATTCCTTTGTTGGCAAAATGTTTAGCTAAATGGAGCCATTTGTAGTAGTTCAAGTCTAATCCACCTTGCAAGAGGACCTGACCACACAAGTGTTTGAATAAACTGCTGCCCCCTACTGATAGAAAACAGTAATACACCATTTGTTCTGAGTATAATCTGTGAATGATATTAAGACTAGAGAATTATTTATTAGAATGATTTATTACCAGCAGGCAAAAGCCACCATTCTCTCCAACAAGATTCAAACTACACACTAAAACCATTCCAGGCAAGCACAGCTTTAGGCTGGACTGAAATCAAGCACATTAAAAAATATTCTCTAAATACAGAGCAAAGCAGTGCACTTCCAATCTATTGCACTGACGATTTTCATTCTTAAGAGGCTTCGCTTAATTCATTTAGCTTTAAATATTTTCCAATTGTTCAATAGCATATGGGAATTCAAAACAACAATTTGTGTAAGCTATAAGGTAAGTGTGTCCTAATAAATTACTCAGAAAAAGTCCTTTTATATATCCACTGCAGTCTAGAAGCCACATATTTCAACAAATCAAAATTCTTCTTAACCATCTAAGGCAAAAATGAGCAGCGAGAAGCATTTGGTCTGGCATTAGATGTATGTTGAGTAAATATATTTGTAAATGCTCCAGTTGACAGCTGAGAGAGTTTGACAGGTCTGTCCTGAAAGCACATGGCTAGAGGTTAAAAGAGCAGATGTTTACGGTTGTATTATGGGTTACGAAATGAAGCCTTGTGTAACAGTCTGGAATTTCTGCTCTGTTTGGAGATTAATAAACAAAAAAAACTTTAATACAAGGTATATTATATCACTACAATATCCGCAGTGTGGGAGGAATCTGGTATAAAAAAAACTGAGGCACATTTCCTACATTGGAACAGAGAGGTCGCTGATTATAAGTTGGGAAACATATATTTTTGCATATATGTGTGTGTGTGTGTGTGTGTGTGTGTGTGTGTGTGTGTATATAGGTGAATATGCATTTTAAATAGTTTTCTTGGGTATATAGGTAGCATCAGCAAATTAATAATTCATCAGTAATTCAGCAAGCAGTGCAGCAATAAAGGCCTCTCAAAACAAAAAGAAAAATAAGCAGAGATTGATATAGGGTGCAATTAAAAACAACTGTCTCTAAAATCGAATTATAAAAATGATAATCAATCAGAGTTCAGTTCAGTTTCGTAACACGTGATTGAATAGTGACTCGTCTTACAGGGGTTTGATTTGCATTACGATTGGCTACCAGCTCCTGTAGCTGCAGAGCTCCGCCTCCAATGAAACAGAAAGCAGGGCACACAGGGGCGGAGCAGTCCACAGGCCCCTCCCATAGTGGGCGGAGAGAGTGGGCATCGTAAAACGTGACACGCCCCTTCTCAAAGTCAAGACACACTCCTAGTCTCGGAGGCAGTGGATAGGTGACGCCAGTTGGCGATGAAGGACCGTTGCCATTAGTGAAGCCAGACTCTCTGTAATTGGCGTTGGTGTGATGGGAGTTGGCGGAGGAGGGCAGGAAGATCTTGCCCATGCCCATTGTGAGGAAAGAGAAAGGGGGAGGAGAATCCGACGAATCCTCGGCTCCACTGTCATGGCCACTGTCTGGATCATATCTATCAGACAGACGAGATGGATTCAATACGGTTGAAGCTAGCATGAAAAATGATTTTGAAGACAATGGTGTCATCATCCTGCTCAATTCAGTTGCAGTTTTGTTCTCATCCAGAAGTGTCAGTGCACTCAATTCAAAGAACCTCTGGAACTTTTCCATTACACAAAAGGTGGAAAAGGTTACATTTAAAAAAAATGTTATGCTAAGAAAACTAATGTTTTTTTGGGGAACTGAATTGGATCTTTTATGCCATCACTGTAAAAATCCCCCTTTAAGAACTGTTTTTCATTTAGATTTGAATTGTTTAAAATCATAATTGCAATAGTTTTGAACATAATAAAAGCAAAATTGAAAGTATTAGGTGCCATATCTTAACATTAACATATCTACTTCCTCTTCTCATTTCAGCAGGTATTTTCTGTCCTTTTCCTTTGTTCATTTTTGAGATTTTGTTCTTACCTTGGACTAGCCATATCTTGAGGCAGATGAAACCACTCCTGAAGTTTGGACTCCAGGCCCACTCCAACCTGTAGAACAGAGCCAAGGACAAAAAATGAGGGAAAAAGTGATATAAAAAGAAAAGTTACAGGGAAGACGGTTAGTATATGTTACTTCTTTACAGAACTCGCCTTAACCAGATATGAGCCAGGCTCCACTGAGCATGCCCAATAGTGTCGGCCCTGCGTTATGGCCACGTCACCCACAAGCAGATCAGCTGTCAGGTGACAGGAAGTGAGGGCCCGATCGGCGGCCTGCAGCAGAGAGAGACCGGGCACACTGCGAGCACACCTCTGCTCCTTACTCACCACCATTCTGTCCGCGTGCAGACCCCAACGAGAGTCCAGGTAAAAATTCAACACTGTCGAGGAGGTGGGAGGAAGACAACAGCGAGGGAATACGGGAGAAATTTAGAAGGGGATAGAAGAAGAGGGGAAAGAGGGACACCAAAGTATTAAGGCACCAAAAGGAGGGACGTAAGAGTGGGTGGAAAGGGAGAATAGAAGTATGTAGAATATGCAAAAGGAGGACAAGGCATAAAAACCACAATCAGGAAAACAGTAAACAAGGAAAGAAGACAAAGAAATGCACTCTGGGAATAGCGGGGTAAAATCAAGACTGCAAAAAGCAGGAAGATTTGCATTCCAGCAGACAGGCAGAGAAGAAAAGGTGTATTTCCTCATTAGTATTTCAGAGTTAAAGTCTATTCACATCAAAAGCTAATTTATTTCATCTTACAAATCTGATTCATGTCTTTGTAACCCTTGTTTTCATTTATAGCAGAAGCTAATGTTGGCGTTTTGTCATGAACATCTGCCTTCTGGTTGGATGTTGCAAATCTTGGATTATTATTTGTAACATGGGCCTCCATTTAATGTGATTAATAAACATTATGGAGCATTAAAGTTTGCTTATGGCCACATTTACAAAGTGGATGGGTCAACATTCACGCAATGTTTCACTACATTGACGGTTTTGTATGGAAAATAAACATACTGGTGGTTTAAAGAATGAATGGCTCAAAGAATCAAATGATGATGGAATTATAACCAAGAAAAGAGATATAATAACAGAAAGATTTTTAAGGGCTTTAAAAAGGGAGCAGGAAAGGTGGCTGTATAGCGCTGTTGTCACTAAAGCTGGAAAACATGGAAAAACCAAAGGTTGTAGAGAAGGAGATGGGAATGGATAAAAAAAGAAAAGAAGATAAATGAGCAGATGAGTATCATTTGGGAATTAATTTTGTTTGTGTTGAAAAATCCTCAGAAGGTGTTTCTTACCTGGAGCTGGTGGTGTGTGTAAATATACTTCCTCACTGTATTCGCCAAAGCCGGCCTTGTTGCAGCCTCTCACCCTCAGCACATACACACTGTCCATCTCCAGCCTGTCAATCACCGCACAGGTCCCGGTCACCTCCTCCAATCTCTGCCAGCCCCAACGAGCAGTAGCCAATCCCCCGCGAATACCCCCTCTTGCCCCGCCCCCTGGCACCACCCCCCGCCGCCGGAATTCCACAGAGTAATGCCAGGCAGGAGTGGAGTCTTGAGGCGACCTCCAGCACAAGAAGAGCTGGTCGTAGGCGAGGGTTCGCTGGGTGTCAATCACAGGAGCGAGAGGGGCTGATGGGATAGGTCATTTTGGTTAGATTACATGTCATTGCAATCAGATTACAGATTTTCCAAGTAAAGTAACATCCAGTTTTCACCTGTCATATCTGTCATAACACAATATTATTATATCAGCAGGGATTCTGCAGAGTTTTTTAAATCATATTTAAGACCTTTAAAGACCTTTTTAAGTCCTGCACAAATAAAATGAACACCATAAGCCCATTTCTAACAAACCCCAAAAATCTTAAATTGTTTTACTTAATTAAATAGGCTATGGCACACATTCAACTGCAGGTTTAAAATACTTAAAGATACGTTTTATTCAATATACCTTTGTACTGAAAGTACTTCATGTACTAACATAACAATACATGTGAATTAGAAGTTAACTGATGTTGGATTTTACTATTATGATAATAATGTTTAAATAAAAGCTGTAACAGAATCAGACTACAGTGATCGTGCTATATTTGTTCTTTTTGGTGAATCAAAACATACAGTGACCAATGTAGTCTGATTCCCGAACTAATGACTCATATGAGTCTGATTTTTTTGGTGAATCAAAACAAACAGATGACCAGTGTAGTTCAAGTGATTCCAAATTAATGACTCTTAAGAACCGGTTTGTTTTAGTGAATCAAATTCATACAATGAGTCAATCAACTGCTTCCAGAATGAAAAATGTGTGCAATCTGGGTTTTTTAGCAAATCAAACATGCACCTTACTGTGTAATTGTGTAATTAAGGATTGCCAGTCTTAAATAAATCAGTGTAGTACTGATCTAACAACTCATTATGGATACACATCAAAGATAGACATTATAAGTTTGTCAGCAGTATTTTATAAAATGTTAGTGATCACTAATTCCTTTTCCTACCCTGAATGAAGTTCAGGTCTGTGAGGAGTTTGAGCTCTCTGGAAACATCAAGCTGGAAGTGTCGGAATGAAGGATCAGCAGAGAGAGAGAAACGCTGCATAGATTCAATAGACTGGGCCAATCTGCCAGAAAAAGAGATAACAGTCCAGTGTTTTCGGATTTTGGGAACAGACATCAGTATTATTGGCAGATAGTAAGGTGGGTAAGCCATCCCACCTGTTGTGTGTTATTCTGGCTGCATGCACAAAGCTCGATGGGTCATTTTCTTTGAGCAGCTCTTGAGTGAAAGCCATCAAGCCGGCATGCTCCAGCAGGCTCCGTTTTTCGGCCACCTGATTGGCCAAAGCCTCTGCCCTTCTCTGCCGTGAGCTTTCCAGAGCCTGGGCCAGCATTGTCTGCCGCTCGGTCAGCAACGCCATTATCTCCTTCACGCAGTGAGAGAGCTGTTCTTTGGCTGATACGCTGTTCACCTGCATTCATGCACACAGACAATTGCTCAGCACATCAAACACCTGCTTTCCTTTTGTGACAGAGTTGGGAAAGGTGGCCGTACCTCAGTTTGAGTGATGGCATTTTCCAGTTGTGTGATCTGAGTCAACACCATGTCCTGATTGGACAGGATGTAGTTCAGCTCCTTGATGATCTTGTCCTAGGGTTTAAAAACAGCACACAATGTAAAAGATTTTTCATTTAAATCTGGCGCCTTTATTGAGAAGGTTAATAATAGTAATGTTTTGCCTTCTTCATTATAGTTTGGCATCGATTCTACAAGTAGAAATGTAAAAAAAAAATGAAGTGAAAATTGTTGTAAGTGATATGATGCATTTGTATTTTTAGCAGTAAAGAAAAATAGAGATAATATTATAGCCCATTTGTGATCAGATTTTGTAAAGCTTTCACACGTCATTGTGAATGAGAAATATAATCTTATTGGATCATTTAGTGACCTCTCATATCCTTTGGATCATGGGAATACTGTCATCCTAAAGAAAAAAACAGTCCTGTTAAAGTAAAAAATAAATAAAAAACTACAGAAGAATCATCCACAATGGTGTGTGTTTACTGCTGATTTCCTGGCTTTCAAAAGTTCATAAACTATAGATCTAAGGTATGCGATGAATAGACTTAAACATCACAGCTAAACAGACTGAACACCATTGTGCAAAATGTTTGTGATGGATAAACTCATCTGATCACATGACGTTCCCCACTGTTGTAGGTTTTTTTTTTGTTTTTGGCTTCTAACTCCTTATGATTACAGTAAGTGCTTAAGGTACTGCACTGGCACTGCCATTAGGTGGCACAGTTGTTGCTTTTTTTTAAATTATTTTATCTGCCCATACTTTGCTTTTCAAAATTTTTTTTATCAATTTCTCTACAAGAGAAAAACATGGCAGTGTTTGACAGTGATTTATGCCAGGTACATCACTAAAATCGAGATTAATTGAAAACATACCTTAAGAGTCTGGTAGGCTTGGGTAACGGGCGCAATCTTGTGACCCGCATGGATTCTACGCAGTTTACAGAGTGAACAAAGCAGCATTTGACATGACTTACAGTAAAACTGCAGCCTCTCCTGATCATGTTCTGGGCATGTCAACACCTAGAGAGACGAAATGAAACTTTACGATACACTATGGCAACCCTCTACGGACACCTTGGCAATTGAATCGCCATTGGCTAGTACATTTTTTAGTTTACTCGCCAGACTGATATATATTTATAATAAATGTTTGTAAAATGGCAGTTTTTTAAATATCTGAAAGTACACACTTAACATCAGTCAGTCAAGCATTATAATATGATAATCAAGTATTATTTAATGATAGAACTTTAGTAATTAGAATTGAAACTTGATAACCATGTTTGAATGTATATTAGTCATTTTAACTGGACTGGTGGTGGCGCTTTTTTGGTCATTTAGTGTTTCTGTAAAAAAAAAACTGGGACAAAACTAACAAAAATACTGATAAGATAATAATGATATGAATTCTACTAATAAGAACAATATAAAACGCACTAAGGATTAATGAGCTGCTGTATTAGGGATGCACCGATATGAAAAGTTTGGCCGATACCGATAACGATTATTCTTTATTTTTGAAAGCCGATAACCGATATGTTGGCCGATAAATCTATATCCAAATTGTTATATACTTTTTGAGAGCCTGATTACAAAAAAAGGTCTCATCATTAAAAGCCACATCCCAAACACTTTAACATAAGCAGCCTAGTTTGAACGGTGTACGTTTTAAAAATATTTTTACTCTCCCATTACCAAATTTAGTCATAAAAAAGTCTTACAAATAAATAAAATTATGCATAATGCAAACTAGTCACTGGACATCATTACACGTGTAAAGAATCAAAATGAATGCGCCATAGATCAATAAAACGGAATAGCCTCTGCACGGACAATAATTAAATGATTTTAATTACTAAACCATATTGTTGATGAAAATAATAAGAGAACAATACAAGTGGTTGTTGTTATTAATAATGTATCAATGATTTTGAAAAAGTAACAAATTAATACCACTGTTTTAAATAGCAGCCGTTGAGCTGCGCGTGCTGAAGCTGAAGAGCTGAATGAACACGGTAACCTGAAGCGTTTTGCTGGCAGCTTATTTAACTCAAGGAAATGCATCCTGAGATTAATATTAATACAACATAAACATAATATTACAACTTATATATGTACAAAATGACGCAGTTATTGCATGCTATAGTCAGAATGTGTGATCCTGTTGTGGATGTGCTCTTCCCATAACAACGCGCTGAAACACGGCAACTAAACCCAAAGAATGCACAACGTTTTATTATAATAATGTTCTCATTAGAATGTTATATACACAACATTCCTAATCATAGTTCTTAATGTTGTGCACTGCTGTTTGAGCTGCGTGCGCTGAGCTAAAGATGATCACCGGTAAACTGAAGCGCTCTTTTAACTTAACCAAACGCATTCTATATGAGATAAATCAGATATACATCAAATAAACACAATATTACAATGTACAATTGCACAAAAGGCTGCAAACGAACAGCGCAGATCTGAAGTGTCTCTGAAGGAAATCATGCATTATTTATCGGCTTTAAGATATCGGCCAAATTTTCTTATCAGGCCGATACCGATAACAGAAAAAATGAGCATTTATCGGCCGATACCGATATGGTGGCCGATATATCGTGCATCCCTAGTATTCATGAATATTAATCAGGTTGTGTGCGTTCGCTCGAACTGATTTGCTGAAATCAAAACAGGGATGATAATAGGTGAGCGCCAGCCAATGAGATTGCCGTTTGCGCATTAGTACCGCCCCACTACCGGAAAACCCGGCAATTCTTAAAAGCTGAAGAATTCCAAAGGAACGTCATTATTTTGACAGGAAAATACAACAAAGAATATCGATTACATGTAGCACGTCAATTCTCTCTCTTTCTCTCTGCGTGTGTGTGAGACAAGCAACAGCGAGTCGTGCGCCTTCACACTAGAGTTCACGGTACGTCAAATACAGGTGCGCTACGCATCCATTCAGATGAACTGAAAAATGCCACAGATCGCTTGATGGAGCGCTGAAGCGCTCAGTCAGTGTTCTGTGAGTGAAAATATATCTGTGCTAAACGTATGCTTAGCCTCCAACTCACACACTGGCGAGTAAAATCTGAGAATTTATTAGCCGCATATGCAAGTGATTTACTCGCAACGTAGAGGGTTGTCTGGATAAAATAAAGCTGCATCTGCATACTCATTTTGTGAAAATTCATTTAGAAATACAGCATATTATGGAAGAAAAAGGGGTTGTGAATGCAGTTTTGTGTTAAATAATTTATCAGACCCTGGATGGACACCCAAGATGTGAGAGGTAATCGGGTAGTAATCCTGGGCGGCTCACCTTTGGCCTGAAGTTGAGGGTGGGCTGAACATGTTCATGCTGGGCGCGTGGAGTGCCCCAGGGGTGGTAGAGTTTGAAGCACTCATTACAGAAGCTGGCTCTGCAGTCAGCACAGCCTTTAGTGGCCTCCAGGGCCTGTGGGGGTTTACAGAACTGACACATCACAGCCACACTGCCCAAACTCACTGTGTGCCTGTACCTAGACAAAGCAAGAGAAAGAGAGAGATCCTGCAGTGAAGTGTTTGTTCATTTGTCTATGTGGTTTTATTCATGTAGATATAGTAACACACAGGGAAAATTGTGTATTCAAGATTCTACTTACAGTAAAGAGCACTAGGTCACTAATCGAATAAGTAAACACATATAAATGCTGAAAATATATTATATTATTATGTATTTAAGATTTCTATTTCACTAAAATAAACTAATAAAACAAGTAAATATGTATAAATCCTGAATTTATATTATATATTATTATATATTTACAATTCTATTTAATATTAGATCTAGATCACTAATCAAATAAGTAAATAAGTATGAATGCTCAAATTATATTTGTTGTTAATATTAAATATGATGTTATACTACACTATATACTATACAAATATTAAACGGAATATAAAATTGTGTATTTAATATTTTATTTGAGATTATTAGGCCACTAATGAAACAAGTACATAAGTATAAATGCTGGAAATACATTATATTATATTATATTATTACAAATAATATAATATCATATCGTCTCATATAATATTGTGTACTTAATTTTATTTAAGATTACTAGGTCAGTAATCAAGCAAGCAAATAAATATAAATCCTCAAAATATTTTATTATGTATTGTATTATATTATATTATTATAATATTAAATTGTGTATTTAAGGTTCTATTTAAGATTTTTTAGGTCACTAATTAAACAAGAAAATAAGTATAAATCCTCAAATGTAATATTATATTATATTGTGTATTTAAGATTCTATTTAATATTACAAGATCACTAATCAAATAACAAGTATAAATGTTCAAATGATGTATATTTTATTATACAATGTGATTTTCTGGATTTTTTTCTGATGAAAATTACAGGCCTCTCTCATCTTTTTAAGTGGGAGAACTTGCACAATTGGTGGCTGACTAAATACTTTTTTTCCCCACTGTAATATTGTGCATTTAAGTTTCTAGTCAAGATCACTAGGTCACTAATCAAATAATTTATTAAGTGTAAACACTGAAAATATATTATATTACATTTTAAATATATAATATAATATATAACTTCGGTGTATCTGAATGAGTGTATTTATTACCTTTCTACAATTCTCTCCAGTGTAAGGTTCCTCATGCACTCAGCCAGTCCTCTCTCACCTAGTTCTACATCTCGTCCACAGGGGGCGCAAGGAAAAAGCATGAGAGGTGGAGGGCCTTCCTTTCGCCTGCGGCCTGGGTACGTCCCAGAACCTAAACATACACACAAAGTGAGATACACTAAATATATATCAACCTGTTTGCATGACATTGAAGATGGCGCATACTCTTTCTTGTCTCTACACACCTGAGCGCAACAGGCGGTCCACGCGGTCAGACTTAGGCATGGGTCTGCGCATCTGCCGTGGGGACCGTGTGTTGGGGGTGGAAGCGGGCGAGTTGGGCTCCGGAGGGAGCTCGGGCTGGGGATACCCGCTCTGAACCAGCACCTCGGAGGCACACATGAGACACACGCTGTGCAGGCAGGGAAGTACAATAGGCTGCTTCACAATGTCCTTGCACACAGGACACAGCAATTCCTGCTCCATACTCTTCATTTTGGACTGATGAATGGAGGAGGAAAAGAAAGGGAATGAGTGAGAGAAAGATAATAGAAGATCTTACAAATATTGACTACAGTGAAATTGAAAAACCATTATAAAAAACACTGCATGTGCTACAACTATAAAATAGACTTTATTAACAGATAAAACTATTTTTTTAATGTAGTACATATACTGTACTACTATTAAAAAGTACGATTTTTTCATGTTTTTGAAAGTCATCTTATTCTCATCAAGGCTGCATTTGATCAAAAATAGAGCTGAATTTTAAGCATCATTACTCCAGTCTTATGATACTTCAGAAATCATTCTAATGTTCTGAATTGCTGCTCAAGTAACATTTCTTATTATTATCAGTAATGAAAAACAATTGTGCTGCTTAATATATTTGTGGAAACCGCAATATATATTTTCCATATAAGTCCAAAGGAACAGCTTTTATCAATAGATTTTTTTAACAATGTATTCCTTACTGTCAATTCTTATCAATATAATGTGTCCTTGCCAAAAAGTATTCATTTCGTATTCATGTGCAGTGGTCTTAACATTATTAGTTCCATGCACTACCAGTTGAACTACAGACAAAATAAATAAATAACAAATAGTAAGCAGTAGCCCCTTCTATGATAAATTTGGGTCCAACATTTAGGTCCTGAAGTCATATTTGGGACAGAATTTTTGAGCTCTACTAAGCAGTATGTCTCTGTTGCACACAGATTTTAAGAAAGAGGAAAGTGGTGGATAAAATGAGTGATGAGACTAGATTTCCATGCTGCCTGGTTGCTGAGAGAGACATGTACACCTTTATAAATAGCGGTCTCTGGTGCACTGCTACTGGCCTGCAATGCTCTTTAAAAATGGATAGTGACCTGATGTTGATGATTTAAGCAGACAGCTGGGTGACATTGGAAGCTCCGGAAAGGCTACATCAGCTAAAGCATGACCTTGTCCATCGGACTAGCACAGTATAGACATATTTGTGGTGTCTGTTTGAAGACTGTCTGAGCAACAGCACCACCCAAACGAATCTGACACCTGTTTTTCTAAAACATGCACAAACATACACAATTTGCATCTCCATAAAAAACACATAGTATAGACAAACAAAACTTGTTAAAAAATGAGTTTAGTTAGCCTACTTTGACCTCTAGAAACCGCAGTGAAAAATACATTCTAGTTATTAACTGAATCTGACAACCATTTTCCAGTGCAAATACAATAGGCTAGTTATAACTATTAGCACGCTAGTTATTAGTTAACCACCGCATATGTACATACAATGGCAATGTGTTCTTAAAATCTAACCGCATATCTTTGTATTAGACACGTTTTTCCATACTTTAAAAATCGAAACGCATGCTTTAGGAAGACCTACAGCAAGCAGCTTAATGGGCTTCTTTATCATCACGCGGTCATTCAGCAATGTCGCCTGGACTTATAGGTCACTCCATCTCACAATACGAAAGATTTAACGTGATTTTAGCTATAAAAAAAAATTAAACGGGACTGAGGTTTGACCTACAGACGTGACTGTAAACCGGTTAGCACAGTGCACCGGCTCGTGCTGTATTCGGCAGCGCCCTTACCTTCACCTGAAATCTGGGCGCCATTACGAGATGCTGCTGTATGACAGCACTGCTGTCGCAAATCAGTGCGACTTACCGAGATAGACTACACACTTTTAATTGCCAAGCATGAAAAGCCTACATGCGGTTTCCACCCAGCTAAAAATATTACATCGATAAAACACCGCATGCTGTAGAAGCATCACTGCCACATGCACGATGCGGATTTAATACATTGTCTGTTATTCTTGTAAAACATACCGTTTAAGTTTCGTTTCGTTGCAGAAGTTCATCATATGTCAATGAGGAAATCTTCCGTCGTCCGCCATTGCCTCTTTCAGGTTGAAATGTAGGTTAGTAGGATGTCGCTACATCCGCACGCAGCTGGAGATGCTTTCAACCCGACGCTCTCAGTCTCAAACCCGCATCCCGTTTCCGTGGCAACGAGCACGTCCGCTTCATCAGCAGCACGCTGCAGGTTACTGACCTCAGCATATCCGAGTCACAACTGAGCTGCTGAATTTAACATGCGTTTTAGTCAAACTATTGTAAAAAAATTAAAAAATAAATAAAACAAACCACAAGTAAACCCGTGCAGCTGTTACCTGAGGACAGTGTATCTTGTGTCGAAAGCTTCGAAATGTTTACGAATCTCTCGAAACAGTGATTGGGCGCTTGTATCGAACTCCCCAAGTCACGTGATTTAAAGGGGTCATATGATGCTTTTTTAAAGATCATTATTTTGTGTATTTGGTGTAACAGAATATGTTGACATGCTTTAATGTTCAAAAAACACATTATTTTTCAAATACTGTACATTATTGTAGGTCCTCTATGCCCCGCCTCTCTCAAACGCTTCGTTTTCTACAAAGTCCCTCCTTCCGACAAGCGCAGTCTGCTCTGATTGGCCAGCTGACCCAGTGCCTTAACTTTGATAAAGAATATCTCTTTGGTTTTGAGACTTTAGTCTTTGCAACTTCAGGGATCTTATCTATTCACAATCAGCTTGTAACACTCCAAAGAGAAAGGAAAACTTGAAATCGCATCATATGACCCCTTTAAGCAAACGAGGCTTCGTTACATTGTACTGTTTCGAATCTGAGCCTGCATCCCAATGTGCACACTATCCATCCTAAATTCTATGTGATATTAGTCATTTTCAATACTATTTAGGGCAGATAGGGTGGATAGTATCAAAGTCCCTAGTATTCTACAGTCTTTGATAGTATGCACATTGGGACGCAGGGTAGGTTTAGAAATATTTTAAATTCCGATGGTTCACCGCCAGATGGCTTTGATCTGGTGAACCCATGAACGAGTGCTCAATGTTACGGTCAGTTTTATAATGTGGGTTCATTTTTGTGCTTGAGTGAATTTTAATATGTCTATGCGAGTATAGTAGGAAGGAGAATGCTTCTAATTGGCCTGTCCCTGCCTAATAACATACAAAACAAAACAAAAAAGAACAAGAATTTTACAGAGCCTTCATAATGGTATCTAATTATTACATTTAGATTACACTTTCATGAAACTATTTGCAATTGGTTTGTAAAAGGTGTAAAATGTTTGGGCTGAGTTTTCGTTGCACTTACACACAATTGTCAATTTATATATTTTTATTCCTTATTTACTTGTTCTATTTTTATTTTTATTATCTGTGTTTTTTGTTCTGTCACTGTCATTCTGTTACACTGTGGAAGCTTCTGTCACGAAAACAAATTCCTCGTATGTGTAAACATACCTGGCAATAAAGCTCATTCTGATACTGATTCTGATTCTGATTCTTACAGTTTATTCCTTATTTACTTGTTCTATTTTTATTTTTATTATCTGTGTTTTTTGTTCTGTCACTGTCATTCTGTTACACTGTGGAAGCTTCTGTCACGAAAACAAATTCCTCGTATGTGTAAACATACCTGGCAATAAAACTCATTCTGATTCTGATTCTGATTCTTACAGCGTTTTGATCAGCAGATGCCGCCAGCATGCAGTAGGCTAGCCCCTCACTGCAGAACACAAGATCCAGGGGGCGTGGTTGGATCCAGATCTAGGGGGTGGAGATTGGTAGGTTTAGGGGTGGAGATGGGTGGGTTTAGGGATCAGGGGGTGGAGACGGGTAGGTTTAGGTATATATATATGGATCCAACCACGCCCCCTGGATCTTGTGTTCTGCACATAGACTGTATAAAAACAGGTTCTGCGATGAGGACCATCTCCCAGCATTGGTGTTTCGAGCGCTTCCAAATAGTGAATCATTTTGCGAAGCAATCGGTTCAATTGATTAAGAGTTTCGAAAAGCTTCGTTTCTCTTATCTCTATCGGAAGGTGACCACTGACCAGAGATTAAGAAACACACACACACACACACACACACACAAAAATCAATCAATCAAATCAAATAAAAACATTTAGTTTCTCTTAACTGTATAATATTTTAAATGATTCATCAGTATTCTGTATGAAACTGTGATACAGAACAGCATTTATTTGAAATAGAAATCTGTTGTCTTTGGTTTTGCTGTTACTTTAATGCGTCCATGCTAATTAAAAGTTTTTTTATTTTTATTTTATTAGGCTATTTGTTTTAATTATCCCGAAGTTTTGGATAGTGGTGTATCACAGATTCCACCTAAAAAATAATAATGATAATGATAATAAAATAATAATAATAAAGCAATAACTGTTTTAAACATAATAATAAGAACTGTTTCGTGAGCACCAAATCAGCATATTAGAAAGATTTCTTAAGAATCATGTGACACTGAGTTCTGCACATAGACTGTATAAAAACAGGTTCTGCGATGAGGACCATCTCCCAGCATTGGTGTTTCGAGCGCTTCCAAATAGTGAATCATTTTGCGAAGCAATCGGTTCAATTGATTAAGAGTTTCGAAAAGCTTCGTTTCTCTTATCTCTATCGGAAGGTGACCACTGACCAGAGATTAAGAAACACACACACACACACAAAAATCAATCAATCAAATCAAATAAAAACATTTAGTTTCTCTTAACTGTATGATATTTTAAATGATTCATCAGTATTCTGTATGAAACTGTGATACAGAACAGCATTTATTTGAAATAGAAATCTGTTGTCTTTGGTTTTGCTGTTACTTTAATGCGTCCATGCTAATTAAAAGTTTTTTTATTTTTATTTTATTAGGCTATTTGTTTTAATTATCCCGAAGTTTTGGATAGTGGTGTATCACAGATTCCACCTAAAAAATAATAATGATAATGATAATAAAATAATAATAATAAAGCAATAACTGTTTTAAACATAATAATAAGAACTGTTTCGTGAGCACCAAATCAGCATATTAGAAAGATTTCTTAAGAATCATGTGACACTGAAGACTGGAGTAATGGAGCTGAAAATTCAGTTTTGCCACCACAGGATACCATATAGCCTATTTAAAAAGAAAACTATTATTTTAAATTGTATTAGCATTTTATTACTTTTTTTTTTTACTGTATTTTTGATCAAATAAATGCAGCCTTACTGAATATAAGAGACTTCTTTCAAAAACATAAAAAAATCTAACTTTTGACTGCTAGTAAAGTATGTATATTGTACAATTTCTGGTGTTTCATCTATTAAGTACTGACATTACTGTGCTCTGTTGAGTCATGCAATCTATATAGAACACACAAAGTCCGCTTAACTCATACACTTAGGTATGCTGTGCTGTAATCAATGTATTGCTCAACTTCCGCTGATAAGACCTTCTCCTGCCCACAGGCTCGGCCATATAAATTCTTGAGAGAGATAACTAGCATTTCTCAAATTCTTCACTCAGACACTCAAACGGTAAGCTCTTCATTCTGATGTTTAGCCTTTTGAATGCACTGTCAAGAGATCAGTTGTGTTAATATTAGATTCATACTAGCTTTCTACAGTGAGCAGCCATGCCATCCGAGCTAGAGACTGCCATGGAGTCCCTCATCATGGTATTCCACCGCTACGCTGGAAAAGAGGGCAAGAACGGCACCCGGACCCGCCGTGAACTCCGAACCCTAATGGAGAACGAGCTCTCTGGGTTTCTCAAGGTGAAAAACTTCTGTCATTCTCTCATAAATACTATAATTCTGGCCTCGTCTCTTTCATTTTCCAAAGGAAATCCAGACCAGATATAAGTTTTTCTCTCGTTTATCAAACATTTTATTCTCTTTTCCCACAGTCTCAGAAGGATCCGACCATCATAGACAGAATTATGAAGGACTTGGATGCCAATGGAGATGGGGAGGTGAACTTTGAGGAGTTTGTGTCTTTGGTTGTGGGTTTATCCATCGCTTGTGAGGCATGCTATAGAATGCAGTTAAAGAAGACACAGAGCTGGAAATGAAGAGGTGGATCCAACCACGCCCCCTGGATCTTGTGTTCTGCACATAGACTGTATAAAAACAGGTTCTGCGATGAGGACCATCTCCCAGCATTGGTGTTTCGAGCGCTTCCAAATAGTGAATCATTTTGCGAAGCAATCGGTTCAATTGATTAAGAGTTTCGAAAAGCTTCGTTTCTCTTATCTCTATCGGAAGGTGACCACTGACCAGAGATTAAGAAACACACACACACACACACACACACACAAAAATCAATCAATCAAATCAAATAAAAACATTTAGTTTCTCTTAACTGTATAATATTTTAAATGATTCATCAGTATTCTGTATGAAACTGTGATACAGAACAGCATTTATTTGAAATAGAAATCTGTTGTCTTTGGTTTTGCTGTTACTTTAATGCGTCCATGCTAATTAAAAGTTTTTTTATTTTTATTTTATTAGGCTATTTGTTTTAATTATCCCGAAGTTTTGGATAGTGGTGTATCACAGATTCCACCTAAAAAATAATAATGATAATGATAATAAAATAATAATAATAAAGCAATAACTGTTTTAAACATAATAATAAGAACTGTTTCGTGAGCACCAAATCAGCATATTAGAAAGATTTCTTAAGAATCATGTGACACTGAAGACTGGAGTAATGGAGCTGAAAATTCAGTTTTGCCACCACAGGATACCATATAGCCTATTTAAAAAGAAAACTATTATTTTAAATTGTATTAGCATTTTATTACTTTTTTTTTTTTACTGTATTTTTGATCAAATAAATGCAGCCTTACTGAATATAAGAGACTTCTTTCAAAAACATAAAAAAATCAAACTTTTGACTGCTAGTAAAGTATGTATATTGTACAATTTCTGGTGTTTCATCTATTAAGTACTGACATTACTGTGCTCTGTTGAGTCATGCAATCTATATAGAACACACAAAGTCCGCTTAACTCATACACTTAGGTATGCTGTGCTGTAATCAATGTATTGCTCAACTTCCGCTGATAAGACCTTCTCCTGCCCACAGGCTCGGCCATATAAATTCTTGAGAGAGATAACTAGCATTTCTCAAATTCTTCACTCAGACACTCAAACGGTAAGCTCTTCATTCTGATGTTTAGCCTTTTGAATGCACTGTCAAGAGATCAGTTGTGTTAATATTAGATTCATACTAGCTTTCTACAGTGAGCAGCCATGCCATCCGAGCTAGAGACTGCCATGGAGTCCCTCATCATGGTATTCCACCGCTACGCTGGAAAAGAGGGCAAGAACGGCACCCTGACCCGCCGTGAACTCCGAACCCTAATGGAGAACGAGCTCTCTGGGTTTCTCAAGGTGAGGAACTTATGTCATTCTCTCACAAATACTATAATTCTGGTCTCCTCTCTTTCGTTTTCCAAGAAAATTAAATCCAGACCAAATCTTTTGTTTATCAAACTTATTTTACTCTCTTTTCCCACAGTCTCAGAAGGATCCGACCATCATAGACAGAATTATGAAGGACTTGGATGCCAATGGAGATGGGGAGGTGAACTTTGAGGAGTTTGTGTCTTTGGTTGTGGGTTTATCCATCGCTTGTGAGGCATGCTATAGAATGCAGTTAAAGAAGACACAGAGCTGGAAATCAGTAGGATTGTTTTGTTTTTGAAAGAAGTCTCATGCTTGCAGGATTCTAATAGAAAGTTCAGAAAAACTGAACATTTTGGACAAAGATTGTTTTGTAACATTATAAATGTTTTTACTGTCACTCTTGATCAAGTTGTTTCCTTGCTAAAATAAAACTTGCTTATCAAAAAAAACCCTACTAACCCTAAACTTTTGTATATATACAGAATATATATATATGCATACAACTTTGATGCCATAAGCTATATTAACCTATATCACATATATGTCAGTATTATATTGGCTGCCATGCTTGTTTTTGGCATGTCATGTCAACCACAAATAATAGCCTATTTGCTTAAACTTCACCAAAGAATATATGAAAATACATATGTCTGTAAATTTTGACATTAGGCAGAATAACTGATCTTATTAATAGCCCAGTGCTAATAACATTAATTTTAAAATATTGGCTGATTAACTGGTCTTTTACTATATAATAATATTTGTGTAGTGGTGTAATTTGCAGTATTTACATGCATTGAGCATTGTGTGAACCCTGAGAACAGTTTTAAGAAAGTATCTTCCTTCAGTGAATATTTTGCAGACACTGTACATTGCATATTAATTCATAAGCTGCATTATGCATGTATAGAGCCACGCTGCTGGCCATAATTAGTCATTGGAGGTGTCACAGGTAACGTGATCAGCATTATAAAAATGAGACGTATTGGGGCACTGTTTTATCTTATGGGAAATTCAGAAGTTGAATGAGGCTTCACAAGGGCCACAGAATGTGCTGTAATCTTCATAATGTCAGTCCCAGTCAATAAACTTAAGTGTTAGTGGTGAGCGTTTGCCAGCTTTCAAGCAAACCACTTTCCCCAGATGGTCTTTATCACCTGAACTCGATGTGCAGTGCGGTCATCTAATTTGTGTGTATTACATAAACTCAAGGCATGTGTATGTAAACAATGAAATCGTTTGTGTGCTGCACACTAGTGTCAGGAGACTACAAGTGTATTTCTATTATTATTCTGTTTTCTATATAAAAATGATGCTGAACTATTCCATAGTTCTTTTTCTCACTCATTGTTCTCTTTAAAACATAACTTTTATTCACATTGAGCATGATCTGATTCGATGTTGCTAATTTTATCCCATGTTGACATATTACATTCATTGAAAATGTCATGAAAACATTTACCCCTCCTTGAAAGGAAGGAAATGCAAAGGGTTCTTAGGGACATGAAGGTTGTTACTTACTGAGCCTCGGTCAAGTTTACTTTAAAGGGATAGTTCACCCAAAAATGAAAATTATTTCAGTAATTACTCACCCTCATGTCATTCCAAACCTGTAAGACCTTCGTTCATCTTCGGAACACAAATTAAGATATTTTTGATTAATTCTGAGAGCTCTCTGACCTCCCATAGACAGAAAGGATCCTTACACGATCAAGGCTCAGAAATATAGCAAGGACATCGTTAAAATAATCCATGTGGCATTAGTGGTTCAACCGTAATTTTACAAAGCTACGAGAATACTTTTTGTGTGCAAAGTTTACTTTAAAGGGATAGTTCACCCAAAAATGAAAATTATTTCAGTAATTACTCACCCTCATGTCATTCCAAACCTGTAAGACCTTCGTTCATCTTCGGAACACAAATTAAGATATTTTTGATTAATTCTGAGAGCTCTCTGACCTCCCATAGACAGAAAGGATCCTTACACGATCAAGGCTCAGAAATATAGCAAGGACATCGTTAAAATAATCCATGTGACATTAGTGGTTCAACCGTAATTTTACAAAGCTACGAGAATACTTTTTGTGTGCAAAGAAAACAAAAATAATGACTTTATTCAACAATTCGTCTCCTCCACATCACCCTATAGCGCCCTTTTGGAGAGTATCACATATGTAAACAACGTATGTACGCTTTGATCTGAATGTAAACAACGTACAGTGGGGAAAATATTTATTTGATCCCCTGCTGATTTTGTAAGTTTGCCCACTTACAAAGAAATTAAGGGTCTGTAATTTTTATGGTAGGTCTATTTTAACGGATAGAGACAGAATACCAACCAAAGAATCCAGAAAAAAAGCACATTATATAAAGATTAGAGATTGATTTGCATTTCAGTGAGTGAAATAAGTATTTGATCCCTTACCAACCAGCAAGAATTCTGGGTCCCACAGATTGGTTATTTGCCCACGTGGAACACAGATTAGTCCTGCCACTTTAAGAAGTTACTCCTAATGTCAGCTCGTTAAGTCAAGTTACCTTTATTTATATAGCGCTTTTAACAATACAGATTGTGTCAAAGCAACTGTACAGCATTAATTAGGAAAATAGTGTGTCATTAATGCATAGTGACAATACAATAGTAAACACTCAATTTTCAGTTAAAGGCAGTTCATCATTGAATTCAGTGATGTCATCATCCAGCTAAGTTCAGTTTAAATAGTATCTGTGCAATCAAGTCGACGATATCACTGGAAATTAAGTGTCCCCAACTAAGCAAGCCAGAGGCGACAGCGGCAAGGAACCAAAACTTCATTAGTGACAGAATGGAGAAAAAACCTTGGGAGAAACCAGGCTCAGTCGGTGGGCCAGTTCTCCTCTGACCAGACGAAACCGACAGTTCAATTCCAGGCTGCAGCAAAGTCACATTGAGCAGAGGACTCGACTGGTTCCTGTGGTCTTGTCCCGGTGGCCGTCTAGGAGACAAGGTCTTCACTGGGGATCTGCCTTTGTGGCTCATCTAGTTGTCCTGATCTCCGCTGACATTCAGGGCTGTAGAGGTCCTCTCTAGGTGCTGATCCACCATCTGGACTGGATACGGACTGGATCCAGGTGACTGCAGTGACCATCTGATCTGGATACAGACTGGATCTGGTGGCTTCGGTGACCTCGGAATAAGAGAGAAACAGACTAATATTACCGTAGATGCCATTCTTCTAACGATGTAGCAAGTACATCGGGTGTTATGGGAAGCGTTCCCAGTTCCGTTTGATCTAATTAATGCAGCCTAACAATCCTTTTAACGGATTTGAATATTAGAAATGTGTTGTGTGTTTTTAAAACCTTAAGCTTTTAACATCTAAAAGCCTCCTTCGTCGAATCTGCCGGCCGCGCCGTTCTCAAGGCCGCCGCCTTTGCTCACTCTAGGCTGCTGCCGCTCACTCTAGGCCGCCGTGTGTGACGCTGTTTCGTTGTGAAAGCAAAACTACTTTGTTTGGCCTTCCAAAAATGGACACAACTAGAAATCAGTGGTTAAAGTTTTTTTTGGACAGTGTAGAGTAGGGCTTGTTGTTTGTCATTTCTCCGATCACAAATGCAGACATAGTTTTATGTTTACGCGGCGTGATGCAACGTGTAAAAAGACAGTATAAGTCATTATAATCCATAATTATGTCCCCACTGGATGCAACGAATGCCTCGTTTATAATGGGTTTTCATGTTTTTGAATCATCGCTCCGGCCTGACAGGGCATCATCACAATATGGTAGCAGTAACATTTCCGTCACACGCTTGAGGTATTCGGCCAATCATAACGCGCTGGATAGCTCGCCAATCACAGCACACCTTGCTTTTCAGACCGATGAGCTTTGTAAAAATCGACGAAAGGCTGGACATAGAGGAGAAACAATAATGTACAGTATGTGGAAAATAATGGGGGGGTTTTTTAACCTTAAACCGCATAAACACATTTCATTACACCAAATACAAAAAATAATGTTCTTTTTAGCAACATCATATGACCCCTTTAAAGAATCTAACTAGCGATTCGGGATAATAATTGTGAACTGGAGTTTCCAAGATTTTTTTTTTTTGGTAATGTTTTAACATGATCTTTTTTTCTGTCTGGAAATGTTCCTAATACGTGAACGGTTTCATCAGCCCAAGGCTGGTTTCCTGAGGAACTCCTTTGAGGAAGAAGGAGTGGGTTCACAAACCCAAGTTTATTTATGAGCGTTGAGCTTTTTTTCCATTTAGTTTTTGGGTTAGTGTTTCTCCAGTCCTCAGTTCAATAATATAAGCATGAATAAGTTTAAGAAGGAAAAGAAAAATAATGTGGTATGTTTATAATAGCCTATATCAAGTTTTCACTTTAACAGTTAGCAGTACTTCCAGTCTGAAATGAGGAAGTATACAGTAGGGAATTATTGCAGTCACTAGCTGGTCATGTGAATGTCATGTTACACAACAGTTTGTTCCTGTTCCAAACTCATTATTCAGCATGTTCAATTTTCAAGCACGTGATTTTATATGGAATCGAATTAAAGTATGACACCTTGGCATAAGAGAACCTAGGTGTTTATGTTTTTATTTGTTCCTATTATGCAGTAATATGTTAATAATGTTTTTCCCTGTTGGGGATGTAAATCAGTAATTTCTGAAGAGTTTTAGATTTTTAATTTCCCTCTCCCATTTAATATAATCAAATCACTAATAGATGTGTTTATGTGGTAGTGTACTGTCAGCTCTGTCTGCTCCCATTGTGTCCCGTCATGAAATATAAGGTCTCCCTCCATCTGTCACCTGGTTTATGAATTAGTGATGGTGGTAATAAGTGATGGGCAGGTGGCATGTGCTTTTTCTGTCATTGTTGGTGGGCTCATGTGCATATGCAATATTAATTCAGAACTAAATGGAGATCCCAATGGCCCTTTACCTTTATTAACTGAAAAACTCTGTAAACCAGCTGCAAAAAAAAAACTAGAGACTTTTTTATAAAGACATCAGCAGTTCCTTGATGCAGATGTCCAATTAAAACTGTATATTTTAAAGGGCTTATGTGCATGCAAATAATGCAGTTAAACATAAAATAAAAACATTTTTGTCCAGTGTCATCAAACAAATATTGAGTGCATTGATAATAAGAAATGTTTCCTCAGCAGCAAATCAGCATATTAGAATGATTTCTGAAGGATCATGTGTCACTGAAGACTGGAGTAAAGGCTGAAGATTCAACTTTGCCATCACAAAAAAATTGCATTTTAAAAATATTAAAATAGATATTTATTTTAAGTTGTAATA